TCTTTTTTTTTTTTTTTTATGAAGTGGTTGAGTATCTGAAGACTGAATCTTATTTTAAAATATACTAGGCAATTTCAATGTGAAAAGTACCATGCTTGTTTATCAGTCTTCAATTTGCAGAAAGTAGTTTATCAGACAGCAAAACATCTCTCTGCTGAAATGAATCAAGTATCTCTGGCTAAAAAGAGAGAGGAAGAGGCATTTAATTCCGTGCACATAATAAAACGTCCACACTACTGCATGATCCTTGCTAGTGATGCTCTTTAAGGAGAGGGCTTTAGGTTTTTGCTGAGGACTGTCTTTTAAAAAACAACCAAACGAATGGAGCTGGTGTAGACTTTAAGACATGCAAACATAATAATCAAACTATCAAGTCAACACTACTGTGAGAGCTGACTTTTTATAAGCGAAGACTTTGATCTGAAATATAATTACAGAAGTAAGGGTTTGTAGTTGTACAAGGCAGGTTTCAAAGAAGGAGGAGAATATTCATATTAAAATATGAATATTATTAAAATATGTAAAAAATAAATAATATATAAAAAAATTAAATAGTGTGAAAGGTCAGTTCTCACTCTTTTCTATTACTAGGGACTCTGCAGCACCCAACAGCGGAGCCCTTCGCTGTCTCCCGCATCCCCCTCCATCGCCCCCCTCCATCGCCCCCCTCCATCGCCCCCCTCCATCGCCCCCCTCCATCGCCCCCCTCCATCGCCCCCCTCCATCGCCCCCCTCCATCGCCCCCACCGCCCTCGCTGCCCTCCCAAGTCTCCTGAACACGCATGCGCAGCAGACAGGCGACCACGTCGCTGTTGCCGGTTTGCCAGTGGGGAGAGGACGGGCGCCACGCAGTGGTGCAGGGGAGCCACTGCCACCTACCGACGGATCACTTCCTCTGGTCAGCCTCCACTGTACCTCTGAAAACTCGGGGTGATACACTGGCTTTCTGGGGTTGTCTGCTAGGTCGTAGAGATCCCCGCCTTCTCCTTCGCACAGAAGTTCCTGGGGGTTCAACCCTTACCGACTTCACTGAGCTCCAAGCTTTGGGTGGCAAGGCGGCCAGTTAAATCCCAGATCCTCCCGAGCTTTCCAGGGCAGGAGGCGGGGATTCAAGAGCAGCACGGTGCTAGGCGATGATCCTCATCTTCCCTGCAAGACTCACATTTTTATTTTTTTAAGGTGCACTTTCTCTTAAGCTAAATCCCAAAGTCTTTTGCTAGTGTTGGTGATGCCAGAGGTACTGTCCAGTTTGATGGCTGTATGATTCAGGAGTTATTTCTGTTACAGGATTCTGTTATATGCACTAATATTCCAATCGACCACGTCAGATCAAAGAGCAGAGAAACGGCTTCACTGGTTTCTGGGGGAGGATTCATAAGCTTCTTGTAAATATCTCTGGGCAGTTACCATGTGAAGGTCAATCTCAAATCAGGTAATTACAATGTATGAAAATATGTTTTAAATGTTTATTTATTTAATTTGAGAGCGAGAGAGCAGGGGAGGGGCAGGGAGAGAATCCCAAACAGGCTCCACACTGTCAGTGCAGAGCCTGATCTGGGGCATAAACTCAGGAACTGTAAGATCATGACCTGTGCTGACATCAAGAGTCAGACACTTAAGGCACTGAGCCACCAAGGCACCCCAGTGTATGAAAATATTTACATACCTTGTTGTTGGATCGGATTTTCAAGTCATTTGGGTAGAAAGATAAAAAGGAGATGTGAGATCCCAAAACACGAACCTGGGATCATTGAAGGAAAACATTTCATGTGGAACCTTCCATGTCTTTCCTGCCACTGATATAATCATGGGAAAGGACTGCAGATCATACCCCCAGGGCAGGAAAGCTGTCGTTCATCCAATACAACCTAAGTGGTATTTATTCTAGGCACTGTGCTAGGAGCTAAGGATAAGCAAGTTAATCACATGGATCATCCTTACCTTCACAGAGCTTTCAGTCTAGTGTGAGAAAAGTAAAATGATCAAGTTCTAAGATAGAAAGGTTTGTACAGATACCAAAGGCATAACATGGGATTCTAATTAGTCCAGAAAAGTTGATGTCAGGTAAGACATCCTTGAATCAGCTACCTTCAAGCAGAGACCCTAGGAAGAATTAACAAGGTGAAGGGCAGAGAAGAGAAAGAACAGAATGTGCAAAGGTCCTGAGGTGAGATGGAGCATGGAACTTTGGTCAGAGTTCATAGTGCATTGGTGGTGGAGAGGAGGAGTAAGGGAGTGAGAAAGGCAAAGGTCAAATCAGGTAAGCCACTGGAGGATTTTAATCTTACCAAATGGCACTGAAAAGTCGCTGAAGGGTTTTAATTTGATAGAGACATGATCTTCCCTTCAGTCATTTCATGTGTACAGTAATAGGTGGTGTTACCACCGCTTTCAGCGTTTGAGTTCCGAGTCATAGGGCCCTTTGAAAAATGGCTCAGCCAGTTTCTGGTTGGCATAGTTTGATACTTTGTTATTTGTTTCAGGGGAAGGATGAAAGATAATTTTTAAAAGTAAGTCCTTCATCTTCCATTTATATAAAAGAACACTTCTCTAAATGTGAAAAAGTTGATAATCTTTAACTACGATAACAGATTTATACAAGCAAAGTGATAATAGAGTCTATAATTTCTACAGTTGGTATGGGCAGTCAGAGCCCAGAAATATAGACCTGTCATTCATTTTCTTGTTTATGACGCACAATCATTCTTCAAAGCATTACGTGACTCAAACTTCTAGAAATAATTGTCTGAATGTGCCTTTGCCCTGCTGTCATTTCACTAAACTTGTACAACTGGCCCGATTGGCTTACTGCAAATAAAACTTTATTCTGCTATGGCTTTTTTGGACACTCCGTAAATTATCCTCCACTGTTATATTTAAAACCGCTTGAGAAAATAATCTGCCATTTATGGCTAACTAGTCCTCAGGTGGGGGTTGGGCTGAAACCAGTGTTGGCACAGACAGGCTGACTTCAATTCCTGCTAGATGCTTATTTGATTTGTAAACTTGGGTACATCTGCTTGCTTGCTTGTTTGTTTTTAAACATTTCTGCATCAAGAATTGGCCGATACAAGAAGGGTACAAGAATGTAAAATGGATACAAGAATGTCTATCTCTTTGAGGGTTTGTGATAATTGACAAAAAAGTTGACAAAAAAAGTCTAAATCTTTGAGGGCTTGTGATAATTGATAGGTAAGGTGCTTTGCATGCAGAGCTACCCAATTTTACAAAGTTATTATTTGCTGTTCCTTTCTTCCCGGGGAATATGCAGTACATAGCTTTTCATGAAAATTTCGGAGGCAGGCAGATTTGTGAATGTCTGGGTGATTCTTTTTAAGAAGATAGGACATCCGTACATTCAATTCTTGTTACATTTTTGAAACACTAATGCTTTGGGTCTCTTAGAATCCTTCTCTTTTTATTCTGAACTTGTTCCTGCATAGCTTTCAAAGTCTGAAGATGACTTACATGCTCTGTTCAGGTGGAAAGCTTTCTTTTTTTCTATTCTTTTCTCTTTTTTCCCCTCCCGTGTATCCTCTGCTGTCATCTCATAGATTCCCTATGTTAAAACTTGGGGCGGGGGTGGGGGGGGGAGAATCTGCTTTGAAGTTTGAAATGCCGAGTGCTTAATAGCAGGCACCATACTTTGACATTGAAAACATTTGCAAAAAAAAGAGAAGGATTTTATTTCCTAAATATCGAAGGGAGAATGGTTTCACTAATTGGGATGACAACCGGTCTGCTTTTGAGGATCTTTTCAGTTTCTGGCGATGAAGATGCTGGGGCAACGCGCCCTCACCCAGGGACGCGGAAGGCTGCTTTGGGAGCAGGCTGCGCTGCGAATGCAGGGGGCGGTCGGCGTTACAAGCTCTTCCCGATCCAGAAGGAGAGTCGCGCCCCCTTTCCTTCCCTTTCCCAACCACAACCCGTCCTGTAATTAGCGGAGCCGAACTGAGCAAATCACTGGCTTTTCACGAAATAATTATATTTGTGTTGCTCTCGGACATGTGCACCTCTAAGCCCGAAAACAGAGAAAGACGTTTTTTTCTTTTCCGTGACCGGGGGCAGGGAGAGAAAAAGTGGAAGCGACAGCGGTACAGGGAGTGAAACTGGCCCACGGTGGACGAGGAAAGAGCGAGCGTGGGAAGGGAGCCCGAACCGGCGGCTTCGGCGCGCACACGGAATGCCCTGCACAGGACGCGACTTGATAACCCTCGGAAGGGGAACAAAATGAGGCTTTTCTCAACTTTCTGAAACCTCCACAGAGCTCCCCAGTGTGTCCCGGCCTCCGCAGCTCCGGGGCCCGGCCGGTAGCGCCCCCACGCCGCGGGCCCCGGCTTCCCCTCGGGACCCCGCGCCTGCGGCGCCCGGGCGCGAGCCCGGCGCACCCGGCGTCCCCTCGCAGTAGCCTGCGGGGGGGAAAGGGCGCGACGCGTGGGTCGCGCCGGCCCCTTCGCTGGAGGGACGCCCGACGCTGCCTCCGGGGCGGGGACAGCTCCGGCCACCTTGCGCGATTCCGCCCGGAGCCGGCTGGTTCCGGGGGTGGGGGGTCTGGGCGCCCGGTGCCGGCTAGAGAGGAGCGCGGCACCGCGTCGCCCGCGGGCTGGGGCAGGTGCGCGGCGCGTCGGCCCCGAGCTCGCGTCCTCCCGCCCCGCGGCCCGGGCGCCGCGCCCGCCCCGCCCCTGCCCCCGCCCCCGCCCGCGGGCCGCCCGGGGCAGGGCCTGCAGCTGCGGCCGGCGAGCGGCGCGCCGGGCATGGGCCGGCGGCCGGCGACGGAGGGCGGCTGAGGGTGCGCGCTCGGCCAGGCGGGGTGCCCGCTCGCGGCGGGGACCGAACCGGCGGCTGCGGCGACCCGGCCCCGCGGCGGGCGGCGGGCGGCGGGCGGCGGCTCGGGGATCCACGCTGTGCGCGGCGGAGCGCGCGGCGCTGCCCCGGAGCGATGCGCTGAGCTCGCGGAGGGCCGAGCGCGGGGCTCGCAGGCAGCTCGGGGAGCCGACCCCATGGAGCCCGCGGGCACCGGGAGGAGCCTGCGGGCGCCGCCGCCGCCGCTGCTGCTGCTGCTGCTCCTGCAGGTGGCGGGGCCGGCGGGCACCCTGGCTGAGACCCTGCTGGACGCGTCAAGGGCTATGGGCTCCAGCTCCAGCCCGCCCAGCCCCGCGAGCGTGGTGGCTCCCGGAACGACGCCGTTCGAGGAGAGTCGATTGCCAGTGTTCACCCTGGATTACCCCCACGTGCAGATCCCCTTCGAGATCACCCTGTGGATCCTGCTGGCCTCCCTGGCCAAGATAGGTGAGCGAGCTGGACCCGCGAGCTGGGGTGGGGGCGATCGGAAGGGGCCGCCCGGGTGGGCGTCCCAGTAGGCGAGCTGACCTCTGGGTGCTGGCCACCTCCCTGCGGATCAGGGCAGGGGCGACAAAGCAGCTTCTGTCCCAAAGGGACCCCGGGAGGAACACTTTCATGCTTTGGTTCTTAAGTGGACATTGGCCTTGAAGTAGCCCCAAACTGTTAGTCCATACAAACTCAGCGATTTGCTGCTTGCCTTTTGCCACCGACGCCAAGTGGTACAGCCCCCTGCCGAAGCAGAGACCTGTTTACTGAAGGAGGAGGCGACGTAGCTGAGGTTTATTGGTCTCCCCGACTGGAGGAGAGGCGCAGGCTAGCACCGAGACTAAAACAGTTAATGCCCTGGATGCTCTGAGAGAGAAGGGCGCCTTGGCAGTGACACAGACCCTGCCGTGCACCTGACTAATGAGGTGCGTGGAAGAGGACCAGGGACGACTGAGTGCCTGCAGCTGCGACAGAAACACCCTGTCTCCTCCCCTCCTTTGGGCTGGGGCTGTCACTCTCCAGGAAGCGTTTTCTTAGGTGACTGAGGCCAGCGAAGCAAGATGCATATTCAAAACTAAACCCACTTTGTAAACTGTCTCTTTACCTCTTATTTGGAAGCAGAAGTGCAGAGTGTCTCTTCTCATCTGTATCCCTCCCCCCATAAACTTTTGTTGTGCTCATGGTGCTTTATGTTATTTTTACCTTATATTTTTAATACTTTTTAATTTTAAAACACGTCGGCTACTGTTGTAATGATTCAAAAAGTTATTAGGTCGAAAGACACGTATGCATTATTGCATGCGTCTTCTGCATTTGTTCTCCGAAAGATCCTGTGCTGTGCAGTAAGACGGGTCTCCCTAAAGGAGAAGACACCTTGCCTGTCATCCTCAAGCTCATTGATTGGTGGGAGAGATACCATACACACCTGTGACCATAATATAAGAACGTGCTAAGAAGTGTGACAAATTCAGAAAAGATAATACGGCAGTGTAGGGAGGCAGAAGCCACTGTATGATGCAAAGGAAGCATTTAAATTGGGTTTTCGGGGATGACCAGGGTCAGTTGGAGATAAAAGGGAACAACATTCCAGAGAGGAATGAACAAAAGGCTTAAATTGGGAGGAAAGCACAGAGCAGGCAGAAGAGATGGTCTGCAGGAGGGTGGGAGTTGTGGTAGGTAAGCCTGATGTCAGATAAAATGAATCCGATTCTGTTAACGATGGCCAAAGGAGGCGCATGCTGTTTAGTGACTTGGCAGGCTGCAGTAGCCTGGCTTTGACATGGTTGTACTAGTTCAGTGTTTCTTTTCCACCTGCGAAATGGAAGCAGGGGAAATGGATTTCCCCATCTATCAGGTAGGTGTGCACATTGACAGAAACTCTTTGCCTGTAATAATGAACTCAGGTGCTATCTCCTCACGTGGTCCTTAAAACAACCCTGCCACGTGGAAAAGGCAGATATTAATACCCCTCCCGCCCCCATAGAGGTAGACACCGAAACTCTAGAGAGCTTACAAGGGTTCCAGACATACAAAGTGGGGAGCCAAATGCAGGCTGTGTTCACTCTCCCAGCCTCCATCGCTGGAGAGGTGCTTTTGTGCCGTTTCCATTACTGCTTCTTGGTTGCCATTTCTATTCAATTACAAGTCTTTGTTTTGTTCTTCACTCCTGATTATTTTAATCTGATTAATTACACTAATAACAGCTGCTGGTAGGCACTTAAGTTCATTACCTCTAATTTTCATAACCATCCCGGGTAGGTCTGATTACCCCATTTCCTATAGGAAGAAACAGCAGTGGAGAGGTTACCTTGCGGGTGGGTGGGGAGCCAGAATTCCACCCAGGTCTGTCTGATGTCTCACTTTGTGTCTATCCTGGAGGCGTGTTTTGTTATGAGGATCAAGTGGGTCTACCTATGTATAACATTCTTAGAAAATGCTGGGCGTGTGGTGAGCGCTGAATCTTGTCACTGGTCGGCTTGGAAGAGGAGTGAATGGAAGCGTCGTGTGGTGCTCTGGCACTGTGTTTCCTTTTCCACTGTGCTGGGTCACCTCCCCCCTTTCTCTGCTTCTCTTTTAGGCTCAGCCTTTTCCCCTTTTCCAAGGGTTCCTATTCATGTGTGGGTTGCTCTTTCATACTTGTTTTTTTTTCCTATCATGATCTGTTCATCTCGTTTGACTTTATCCCATTAATTGTGTGGTATTTTATTAAAATGCTTGTGTTCAAGGTGTTCACAGGTGTATTGATCTGTCCATTGGCAGTATTTACTGATCTGTTCGTTTGTAGTTATTTATTTTTTTATCCAGATGTATTTATATTCCCCGGCACTTGCTGTTCTCCTGATCTTTCTGCCCTCCCACCCCCCGCAAATTCTCAACTTCACTGGCTACTAAGTCCTCTTTCTTTCCTGCATCTGGGGTGGCACAGAAATGGGAACACAGACAGATTTTCATGTCTCCCGATCAGAAGAGCCTGAACAGAGAGAGACCTGAGTGGAGACTGCCATGGGTGGGGTCAAGGGCATATATAGTTCCCAGAGCAGAGAGTATAGTATTAGAGTCCCCACAACCAGTTCTTGGGGGGCTTTCCTAGGTTCTTCTTGTATATATAGTCCAGCCCTGTCTTCCTGCGGCAGCTCTGTCCTTAGAGGAGCCTGGAAATGCCCAGATGTCCACTCCCTCCCAACCGGCACCCCCCCCCCCCCCCCCCCAGCCCCGGCCCCGGCCCTGCACTTTCTGTTGGCTTTGAGGAAGACTGTCCTTGTATTGTGGGATGCCTTTACAGCCCATTAAACAGTATCTAGTCATTCAACTTCTATTTTAACTTTTGTACTGGAAGAACTATTATTATGTGACTTAATTTGCTCATATTTTGGGCAGGATGATGAATTGAGCTGTGCAGGGGGACTTGGGGACTTGAGAGATTACAGATGTGTTAACTCCTGCAAAATGCCATGGTTTCTATTTGGGGGACTTTTATGCCATGTACCAGGTGTACCTGAACTTACCTAACCCAGAGAACATGGAGAAACATTGCTGGTGATTAATCTAAACAAAGGTAACAGGTTGCCCCAAATGCAGGCTCCTAATAACATTTGTAGGTTTAAATCATGCCTGATGGTGAATTCAGAATTGTTTGCTAGATTGCAGTCCAGTATAGCTTTGGAAATATCGCAGTCTGAAGTGAGCAGGTGCATTTGTGGCAGATTGTTAAATGATTCAACTTTTCATTGTTTTACCTGATTATTAGGGCTACTCAATTTCTGAATTATTTGGTTAAAAAGAAAATTCTGTAGTCGTGTTGATGACGATGTGAATGTGTATGTAAAGTATGTTAAATAAATAAAAGAACATACCAAATTGAGTATACCGTTGAATAGGTGTTAAATTTTGCAATTTAAAACATTTTCACTTAGATCCTGTAACACATGTAAACTCGTATTCTTTAATTTTGAAGATTTATATTTTGAATAATGGTTGATTTTTTTAACTGCTATAAATGCTCACCTTGCTTGGTAAATCCTGTACCCAGCAATGGAGTTCTATAGCTTAGAATTATAGGTAGCCAGAGAATTAAGAAGAGGGAAAACTTCCAGGAGTGTTCTAAGATTCTCTCCTCTGATTTCCTTGCCCATGAAGTTGATCACTGCATTTGTCCTAAACCGGGTGAACTTGGGCATGCGTTCTGCCATTCTTCAGAGTTCAGAGACAGAGCTCTGGGTTCCTGCTGTTTAAAGCAACAGAACTCCCTTCTCTTGTCCCCCCATTTAGCTTGTAGTCTTGTTGAGCTGGCCTGTTTGCCTCTTGCAGGTGTCGGCATGCATCCTGCCCTTTTCATCTCCTCTGCCCTGAAACTTGGAGTTAGGATGCAGAATTTTTCCACTTCCCTCCACCCTGTTGTCTTGAAATGAAATAACTTGTAGTATTGTTTTAAGGAAAAGACAAAGCAGTTTGGTCCCTGAAGGTTTCTCCTCTTGGATCCAGTCTGTCCTGATTTGAAATATGAAACCAGATAGTTTTCTTCAGTTGTTATCTATCTGTACTACCTGAGATCTTGATCTCTTAGAAAAACCTATTGTTGCCCTTGATCTGTTTCCCTTTGTTTTATTTGTTTTTCCTGAAGTGTATACACCAGCTGGTTGGTCAGTGGATGAAACTCATGGTTTTTCCTTGTTTCTGAACCACGTCTTACCTTGAACAAACTTGCGAAGCTCAGTCTTCCTGATGGCATGCATTTTTTACTAATAAAGCTAAAAGAAGAATTTTGATTCCTTTTTGTCTCAAAGCTTCCATCTCTCCTCTTTGGGTTAACCATATGTTTCCTGAGTTCTGTGTGAAAGATGACTGCAGCAGCTCATATTGTTTCTAAGGATCATTTCAGGTGCCACCTAGAATTTTATCACTGTACTCTAACACAGAGATATTTTCATATCTTTTAAAAGAATAACAGGTAATTTTTCTTTCTTTCTTTACCTAGATCAAAAGTCTCAGAAATTTGTCTACTGTATTCTTTTTCAAAGAATTAGATTTTGTTTGGTTTCCAATTTATCAATTTCTTCTCGTTATTAATTAGTTCCTCCTACTTTATTTAGCATGTATTTTGGTTTTTTTTATCCTGATTTAAAAGTTTAGCACATTAATTATTGAATTTATTTGTTTTCTAATATGTTGACTCCCACCTTCCAAGGGTAATTAATCCCTGAAAAAAGACTTATAGTTGAAAACATAATTAATATTACTTTCAGTAATTTTAATGACAACTTTTTAATGAACTCCTATGTTCTGAAATAGGCATGCCCTCATACTAAAATGACATCAGTCTTACTAAAATGCATGAAACCATTTTCAATAGTTTAGTTATTACAACTCCTAAGAAGCATTTCTCTTCATCAATTCTTCCAAAATTTGGCTATTCACTTGTTTTCATTAAATTCAGAGCTGTGATAAACTGGCAGTCCTGACAC